TATGTCCTTCTTTCTCTTTTCTGGAAGACATTGTACAGAATTTGTATCATTTCTTGCTTAGATGTGTGGCAGAATTCACTTGTGCCTGATGCTTTCTGTTTTGGAAGGTTATAATTATTTCAATTATAAATATTGGCATATTCAGATTGCTTATTTCTTCTTGTGTGAATTTTGGTGAAATAATATCTTTTAAGAAATTGGTCCATTCATCTAGGTTACCAGGTTCATGGGCACACATTGTTTATAATATTTCCTTTCTGTCCTTTCACTGTCCATGGAATCTGAAGCAATGTCCTCTTTTTCATTTCTGACATTAGTGATTTGTGTCTTCTCTGTCCTTTTGTTTTAGTCTGATTAGATGGCTATCAATTTTATTAATCTTTTCCAAGAACCAGCTTTATTATTTTTTTGTGGTTCTAGGAATTGAACACCAGGACCTCCAGCATGCTAGGCAAGGACTCTGCCACTTGAGCCACACCCAGAGTCCTTTTGTTTTTGTATTTTGTTTTTTGTGAAAGGGTCTCATTAATTTTGCCTGGGCTGGCCCTTGAACTCATGATCTTCCTGCCTCTGCCTCCTGAGTAGCTGGGATTACAAGTGTATGCCACCATGCCCATGGCAAGTATCAGCTTTTGGTGTTATTGATTTTTCTCTTATTGATTTCTTGTTTGGTTTTATTGATTTTTGCTCAGGTTTTTGTTACTTCCTTTCTTCTGCTTACTTTGGAATTAATTACTTCTGCTCTTTCTAGTTTTTTCTTTTTTTTTTTTACTGTGTAAGCTTAAGAGTATTAATTTTTAAGTCCTTTTTTGTTTTCTAATATAACCATTTAATGCTATGAATTTCCCTGTAAGCACTGCTTTCATTATATTCACACATTTTGACAAATTTTATTTTCATTTTCACTCAGTTACAAATGTTTAAAATTTCTTTTGCACTTTATCATTTGACTCAAGTGTTATTTAGAAAGATGTTGTTTAATCTTCAGGTATTTTTGGATTTTCCAGCTTCCTGTTAATTTTAGTTTAAAAGCAGACGTTGTATGGTTTCTATTATTTTAAATTTGTTAAGGTTTGTCTTATGACCCAGAAGAATATGATCTATCTTTAGTCAGCCTTCCATTCCTGTAACAAAATAACTGAGATAATCAACTTAAAGAAAGGAAAGGCTCATAGTTTCAGAGGTCTTAGTCTGTGACTGATGGGCCCTGTTGCTTTAGACCTGTGGCAGAAATATGCTAGAATAAGCTGCTCACCTCGTGGCAGCTGGGAAGCAAAGAGAAAGAGAACAGCAACCCACAATCCCCTTCAGTGGCACACCCCAATGACCTCAAACTCACTAAGGCACCACCTCCTAATAGCAAGCACTGTGGGTTGGGGATGAAGCCTTTAACACAGGAGCCTTTGGGGGACATTTAAGACCCAAACTGTAGCACTTGGTTAGTGTTTTATATGAGCTACAAGAATTTGTTTTCTGCTGTTGTTGAAGTAATTTATCTAGATTTTCATTATATCCAGTGGAGTCAGGGTGCAGTTGGAATTCAATGGTATCCTTACTGGTCTCCTGTCTGCTGGATCTGCCCGTTCTGATAGAGGGTGTTGAAGTCTCCAACTACCATAGTAGATCCACCTGTTCCTTCTTTGTAGTTCTATCAGTTTTGCCTCGCGTTTTGCTGCTCTGTTGTTAGGTGCATATGCATTGAGGATTGTTATGTCTTCTTGGAAAACTGACTCCTTCATCATTATGTAATGCTCCTCTAGCATTCCTTGCTATGTTTGAAGTTAATATAACTATTCTTGCCTTCTTTTGATTAGTATTAGCATGGTATTATCTTTCATCAGCCACTTACTATTCATTGAGTTGTCTTTATATCTAAGGCACATTTCTTGTAGACAACAAGTAATTGGATTTTTTTTTTTTTTGGTGGTACTAGGGGTTGAAAGTAGGACCTTAAGCTTTCTAGGCCCAGCCCACTCTGGTATATTTAAAATGTTACTTTTCTCCTCCTCCTCTGGGATTACAGGGATAGGGATAGGGATAGGGATTGGGTTTTCCTACAATATTTACCTTGAGAACCTAGAGAAATTTCTGGGGGTAAAACTCACAAAGGCTTGTGTGTCTGGTCATAATAGCTGAATGGCAGAGCGCTTGCCTAGCATGCATGAGGCCCTGAATCACATCCCTAGCACTGCAAAAGAAAAAGAAAAAGAACAAAGCATGGAGTACCAGTGACTGGATACTCCTGAGGGTTTTCTCTTCTGGACTTGTCCACACAGAGTCTCAAGTAATCTGTTGATTACAGTTCAGGTTTTCATACCCTTTGCTGTGGTAAACTGTGATCCTGTCTACCTATTTATCTATCCACTGTTGGGGCCAGCGGTCTTCCTGTCTCCCCACTTCTCAGATAGATCTAACAAGAGTTACTGATTTTTTAGTGAGTCCAGGTTTTTACTTGTTGTTGGGACAAAGTGGTAGCTTCTAAGCTGCTTATGTGCTAGAGTGGAAACCAGAAGTCTCTTGTTTAGTAGTTTAAAAATTATAAAGTGAACACTGTCAAGGATATATTGCAGAGATTCTAGATTTTCAGAATTTTTTGTTGATTGTTGTTGTTCTCACAGGCAATTAATTAGTAGCTGGTGCTTTTACTTTGTAAAGATTGGTCTTTTGAATCTTATCCTTAATTTTAGGCAAATCCCTTAGTCCTGGGCTCTGATCTCTGCTCTTAGCCTGAATTTTTTGAGACTTTGTTGGGAAATCTGAGGTCTTTAACACATCTCTCTAATTTAATAGAGCTCACACTAAACTTTCTCTTCCCTGCAGCAGGTAGCAGCAGAAATGCCTGCTGAGGTATTTTGGTCTTTCAACAATTGCCACAATCCTCCCAGGACGGGCATGATGGTTCAGGGGTCAGTCAAGGATTCAAAGGAGTTTATATGTAGTACTTGAGGCATATTTTCTATAGCTATCTTCTTTCCAGACTTTCCCTTATCAGTTTTCATCTTTTGTCATGGCCCTGAATTCTAACACCTCAAGCCAGAGAGACCTCAGCTTTCCTCTGGAGTTCTAGCTGCTCCATGCTTCATGGACTGGGGACTGTCCCCAGGGGGAAGACTTTGAAACAGATCCAACCCAGTGTGGCTTCCTTCTTTTAAGGGTCAAATCCCTTCCAGATTCTGCCTGTTTTGGTTATCTTCTAGTGTCTTTAATTTTTAAAAACACGTTGCATAGAATTAATAATTGTTATCTAGAGGACAGTAGAGTTGGTTGGTTGGTTTTTTGAAACAGTATCTTGCTATGTGGCTCAGGTTGGTCTCGAACTTTTGATCCTTGGAGGAGGATAGTTTTAGGCAAACTACTGTTCCCTTCCCTTACAAGGAGCTATTTAGTTTTTATAAAATGAGTCAGTCTCAACTTTTGCTTGATTGATTGTCAAAACTCACATTGTTTCTTCTGCTCCATACTGGTAATGAAAGTAAAATTGTACTCCAACCCTAGTGAAGATGGTCACTCCTCTTGTTTTCTGCTGAACAGGAGAGGAGGAATCACTGAAATGTTTTTGTCACCACTCTTTTGGGGATGCCTTCATACCCAGATTCTAATCCATATAAGAATCTCATCTTCACTCAAAGTGAAATTATTCATCCTGGCTTCTACCTAATATACCAATTAGTATTTGAGAAATCAATTTTCAGTTTTCAAAAAAGTCAGACTTACTCTCAAAAGGCAGAGATGAAAGATATTTGAATAAACATTTTACTGGTTCTGAAGGCAAGCCCACAGAGATGTTCTAACCCACTGTGGACAACAGGACACCACTAGAAGAATAGGTTCTCAAGGTGATTTCTTTGGCAGGGATAATCATTTGAATTTTTAAGTACCAGTAGGTTTAAATTAACTTTGAGTCAATAATAGCTCTCTTCTTTACAACTCAAGGTCAAGGTTGGATTTAAGGAGGTATTTGTGGTCATCCTTCCTCTAGGTGGAGCCAAAGCTTGTGACGGGAGCATCGGGCCTGAGCGGCATCACGCTCTTCCCCTTATTTTCAATCTAGATGAGGATGCTGCAGAAGGTGTGCCTCTACACAGAGGAGGTGCCGAGTACCAGGCCGTGCTGCCCAAGGTCAGGAAAGCTCTTGCAGATGTCCTTCAAGACATTGCCCATGACAACACCTCCAGAGCAGACTACACTCAGGATCCTTCTGTAATTCCCTGCTGTAATCCCCTCCAAATTTCCTGTCGCTGCCAAATCATGTAGCAGGCCAGTTTTCCCACGGGGAGGAATGTCTAGAAATTAAATGGGCAAGTCCACTTTCACATTTCAGTTGTAGCCTTTCTCTTCACAAACATGTGCTTTGAAAATAAATCTCAGGACTTTGGTTGGGGATCACCCTTTTGCCTCCCCCTCTGCACATCCCTCTCCATGCAATCTTGAGGAAAGAGCTGAGCTGAGTGGGCTCTGGGGCCATTTGCATGGTGTCATGGAACACTTGCAGGCTTTGGAGTCAGGTTCAAGTCCAAGGTTTTGAACTTAGGTGATTAACCTCACTTGCAAGTTGATTTTGAAGGTGAAATAAGGTACCACATGAAAATGCTTTGCATGTTATCTGACACAGAGCAGATACTTGATACATCTTAGTTTCCTTTTCATGTGGTTTTGTGGTCTTTTTAGCATAGATTCCTACCAACCATCATGTAGGTTAGAATTTCTCCATTCTTAATACACATAGAAGTCACCTGGGATTTTGTGAAAGTGCAGAGTGTGACTCAGCAGGTCTGGACGAGTGTCTGAGAGCCTACATTTCTAGCAGGCTCCCTGGGGACACCTGGAGCAGCATGGATCTAGATTAACGTTAGGCCTCTCTTCAGGTCTCCGAGCAGAAGAGTCCGTGGTTAAGTCCATGGCCTCCCCTCCCCCTCCCATTTTCGCTTTTAACGATTTTAGGAGCTCTTCTTGCCCTGTAAAACCTCCAAGAAATAAAACAAACTTTTAAAAATTCAAAATGCATTGCCATGATTTTATTTATTTAGTGTCCTAAATGGGACTCAAAGGTAATAAAGAACTGATTGTAATCACTGCAAAAATACTTTGCCTGGCTAAAATAGTCTAGATGTAATATACAAGAAATACAATTCAAAGAGATTTTCCTGTAAGTACATTTTTTACACAGCATACATTTAAAAAGGATGCCCTTTTTAATATAAAATTCTGGTTGTATACCAATATGGTTAGTTAGCATTTACACTGTGGTTTGACGTTATTTTAAATAGCACGATATGAATGTAATGTCCCCATGTCCACTGGCACCCAGGCTAAGAGGACTGGATGAGGAGTTAACCATGTCCTGTGGCTTAGGAGCACAGCACCCAGGATTCCTGACCCCCCTCTCTGGTCACACAAGTGTACGCCATTCTTCCACCTTCCTTGTTTTCTCCAAAACCACCTGACAGGGGATGTCCTGATTTCTGAGGTGCGGTGCTCGTCATGACTGCTTCGTTTTGCCCTTCTGACTTCCACGGCACAAGATTATCTACCAAAATCAAAACAGAATGGCCTTACTCTTCCCAGGAAGAGGCTGGGGGCAGGCAGCGTCTCCTACAGGTCTGTGCCCATGCAGCTAAGCAGGGAGGTGAGCGTTTCTGTGTGGACACAGACTGACCCTCACTCATGGCCACAGAAAAATCCACCCATCTTACGTAGGTGAAGAAGAGTATGACAAAGATTCTGAAAATACTATGTATAAAGAGTATATAAGTATGCATAGTTATATGTATATGTGCATTTTTAAAGAGGCTCATCTTAATTGTAAACACGGACTGCTAAATCACTATTAAAAAGTCAGTATATGTCCTTGGTCCAAACTGTCTTCCTCTTGTTCACAGGTTAAGACCAGTGTCACAAAATACATGTACTTACACACTGGTTTGTTACTGAAACAAGAGCTGCTCATCACCCTCCTGAAGTCAGCCTCCTCCCTAGGTACCAGAAGCGATCAACTTGCATTTCTTTCATTATTTTGAGCAAACTCAATCCCAAGGAGGGAAGTGGTGGTGTGAGGCAGTGTCAAGTATATTCTAGAGGGTCACCCTTGATGACCCGTGGGGTGGAGGCAGAGGCACAGGGAACCCTGATGCAGACTGCCTGGCTCGCCTCTGTTCTTATCTAGAAGAGAAGTGATTTCAGCCAGGCTGAGGCTCTGATCCTTTTGCAGTCTCAGAAACTTTTAAGCAATGTGAGTAAAGTTGTGGATTCTGAACAAATATTTGTGACAGCATGGGCAATTCAGAATCAAGGCAGGGGGAGAGTCTTTCCTAGCATCCTCAGCGGGGCATTCTACCATGGGCAGGACTGAGACCGGCCATGTCCCAGCTGCACTCACTCCTCTGGCCTTTACCTGCTACTAATCCAGACCCTCAATGAGAATGCAGGTCCCTCCTCTCCACCTGCCTGCAGGCTTGGGGACAGGCTGGAGCTTGTGGCCACCATGACTCCTTATGACTCCTTATACCTGTCTTATACCCACAGACTGCCTAGAACTCCTAGACTCCTAGAACAGAGTCTAACAAACATTCTAGGAAACTTGTTGAGTGACCAACACAACACTCTCACTGGCAGGAAGCATTTCTTGTATATAAATATACAAGTAATGTATATATTTCTTGTATATAAATATTCTTGTTGTTTTTGTGGTGATGGGGATTGAACCCAGGGCTTTGTGCAGGCTAGGCAAGTACTCTACATCTAAGCTATATTCCCAGCCCAAATAAAAATTCTTACAGCAATTTAAAAACTAACTTTCACTCACTCATTTGCTCATTTGTTCCTTAAGAGGGAGACAAGACAACTGGCTCATGCCTAGCCTCCTGGTGATCTATAGGTGAACAGTCCTGACAAATTTTATCACTAGTTTTTTTGATTTTTGTTTTTGTTGTTGATTTTTGGTAGTGCTGGGAACCCAGAGCTTTGCACATGGTAGGCAATTGCTCTTCTACTGAGCCTTACCCTGAGCCCTAAACACTAGTTCTTAAATTAAGCACCTCTAATTCTTTTTTTTCTTTTACACTAAACAAATGGTCTACCCAGGACACCTGTTATTTTATACGTTATTTTTTTGGCAAGGGACTACATCCTAAATGCAAATATCCAGATTACCCTAATGCTGTAAACAAAAGTGGTTGCAAGGTTTGCTTTGATTATAATTAAGACTCAATCATGCTGGAGGCATGGTTCAAGTGGAAGAGTGCCTGCCTCGCAAGCATGAAACCCTGAGTTCAAAGCACAGCACTGCTCCCTACCAAGAAAAAGAACCTCATTCATAATCCAACAATCTTTTATAGCAGTCTCAGAATTTTACCAAAATTGCTAAAACAGAACCATGAGTGTCTGAATGCCCTAAACCTTAATGGAGTAGGGTGGTCACATTCATCCCCACTGTGTCTGATCTGTGCTCTGGTTCCTGGAAGATGTGATTTCAGGTAAACAACCACCAACTTTCAGAGAAACAGAGAAACTCCCTCTAGCTCTAGTTGGTGTCATGAGAACCTAAAGGCAAAACAACTAGTTTAGATGGCAACTGTTAGGCAGCAAGCCAACGGATGTATTATAATTTATAATTAGTATTTTTAAGAACCACTCCTATCCATGACTAAAATATAAATGTCACTTGCTGGCAATGTTCTCGGCAACCTGCCTATTAAAAGTCAGAAATGTAACTCTTAAGCTGCAATCTACATAGACAATATGGAAGTCAAAGCGCACAGTCAAGCACAAAGGACCCCACTGTAGTTTCTTCTTTTCTTTTTTGGCCAAGTTTGCTTAATAGGTTGTGCCACGCATCTGTGGGAGAAAAAAGCCAGATATGTACTCCATTCTCTTGCACATGGATCTCAACTGACACAAAACAGTGATGAGAGGAGAACACTGTATACCAAGGCCTCCCAGGCACTGCTTCAATGCCCAGGCTGCAGGAGTTGACGCTCCAAGTCTTGACTAACCTGTGATCATCGGAAATGATCTCAAGCTGACTACCCAGGATGTTTTCTAATTGAAATTCACAAGATGGGTCTATGAGGCTTCAAACAGAAGCTTGAAGCAGCAGCAGCAGTTAAGGTGGCCCTGGCAATCCCTTAGGGAGAGAATCTTTTCTCCAGACACATATGTTGGAAGAAGCCAGGCCCAGTGCTCAGCCAGCCTTGGGGTGCTCACTGCCAATACAGCTGGAGAAGGATGCTGGACCCCTGAAAAGGCCCCCTGGTGAGTTTGTGCACTCAGTTCTGGCCTTCTACATCATGCATTATTTTTTGGCGGTGCTGGGTTTGAACTCAGGGCTTTGTTCTTGCCATTTGAGCCATGCCTCCTGCCCTCACAAGGGGCTTTCTTATGAATGCTTGTGGCTGCTGCAGAGCCGGCTTAGGGTGCAGGACAGCTCCCCACAGCCAGCTCAAGAGTTCTCCCCACACTGCCCAGTCTATTAAATCATCACTTCTCGTGACAGGCAGCATTCTGCAAAAGCAATTCCCGGGAGCTTTGGAAAAATTAGAGGCTTACTCAGGCAGAAGCTCCTACCTTATAAGCAGCAAAGCCAGAGTGCCGAAGCAAAGGAAAGGAATTAAGGCTTCCGAATGAGCATAGTGAGCCACCCAAACTTCCTGGATTAGTATTCAGTTTTAAAAGATACCCAATGGCTAGCGTGTAGGATCTGAAGCAGATGCAATGGATAGGCTATGACTCTTGAGTTTTAGAGGATTAGTTGTTAGGGACTAGAAAACAGGGAAAGTGGCTTCGCCTCTTGTTCGAGGTGAAGCTTCCTTCTCAGCAGACAGATGGACGGAGCACTCTTAGGGTTTCCTAATGCTCACAGGGGGAAATTCATTCTCATCATCAAGACACACTGGTCCCGTTGCAAACTCGTGTTCAGGAATCACTTCTCCTCGGAGTGCGCCACCGTCCTCAGAATAACCTGGAAATCAAGAGCGGGCAGTGAAACAGGCTTCAGTCAACTCTTACTCCATGACCCTGGGGCAGGATGTGAGAAAAAGGGAGAATCCAAGAAACCATGCAGGCAGGTTGGCCTTCCACCTGAGGGACTGCTTAAGATGAGTCTAATCCCCAGCCCTGCCCAGTTCTGGTCTCTGACCTTAAGAGATGGGTGGTTCACACCCATCTTCCACCTCAGAGGCCTGAAGCTTTCCACCTCTTTGGAACTCTCCCAGGGGTAAAGGGTTAATGCCACCTGTTAGGAAACCAACCTCTTGTTCTATGTGGGTCAGGGTTTGGGGCTCAAGGTTGAAGGCTATTTTACCAGTCCTCACCTGTGAGAAAATAAACAACTCAAGGAGAGCATTCCATCCAGGACTGTGGAGGGAGAAGGTGGCCCTGCTGGAGGCTCCCCGTCAGCCCCATGGCCACTCACCTGGCACGGTGGAGGCTGCAGATGTGCTCGGTCTGGCTACAGTTGCTGCATAAGACTGAGGTAAGGAAGGTCTGAGGTCGTTTTCTTTGTTCTCTTCTGTTGTTCCTGAGCCAAGCAAGCTACGTGCAGCAATTAAGAGGGAGGGGGATAAAAGAAATCACCACGTATCTAGAACACCTTCAAAAGGAAAGGCAGGAAGAAGCTCATGCTTGGCTATCTGAGTATAAATTATAGACCTGCTAGCATGCTGTTAAGTCATTATGAACTGAAATGGCCTTACATCAGAGGTCAGTTGTGCAACTCCAAAATGAACCCGTTCCCTTACCCTTAATAAGTAAAGATGGGCCCTCACCCCTTTCTGGTGCACACAGGCAAGGGTGGCAACACATTCCAACAAGGACAGGGGTCATGAATAGCATACAGGTGCAGCTCACTGTGTCCTGTCCTCAGCAAGACAAGAGGTCGGCCTGAACTTGTCACAGAAGTTTGGAGAAATGAAAAGCTTAATTCTGTGAACATTTCTGAAAGCCCACTCCATGCTCAGGACTGTGCTAGGAGGACAGGCTGAGCAGGGGTACTCCATCAGGAGTATTGAGGGTCTAGCACTATCCTGAGGACGGTGACCCTGACCTGAAGCAGGAGCCCCACTAGGGAGAGGGAAATGTTAGCAAGAGCACCCATGCGGGTGACCATGCGGGTCAGCTCTCCACACTGGCTCCTGAACTGCTGTCTTATGACAACTAGCATCTTCACCTGTGGGTTTTGATTAAGACACAGTCTCCTCCATCCTGAGGGTCCAAATTATAGATGTAAAGATGTCCATCAGAGGATGCAACTAGCAGCCTTGGCAATTTCTGGATCCTAAGAGCCAAGGAAAACATGAACTGTAATCATAACGAACACAAGTTATGGATCAGCTTCAGCTGACAGAGGCCTGGCTTCCCTGGCTGTCATCAATTCTCCTGCCACTGACAAAACCTTAGTCCACTGATGCAGAGTTGAGGCTTCTTGCGATTCCTTGGCATTCTGACCTAATGATCTGCTTTCAGGATTATTTCTGCTCTTTGAACATAAGTGTGTGGATGGGGCAAAAGCAATGTGTGTAGGTGCTATCATCCCGTGAAAGCAACTGCCAGGGAACACACTGGTGCATAAATGGGATGCAGGCTCTGTCTTACGTGCCTCTATCCTGACAGTGACAGAAAGAGGGAGAGTACAACTGGCTCGACATCTTTGCTGGATAGATTTACAATTGTATTTTTTTTTTTTTTTGAGACAGGGTCTCGTTATGTAGTCCAGGCTAGGCTTGAATTCACACTCCTCTTGATTTGGCCTATTGAGTAGTGGGATTACAAGTGCGTACCACCACGTCTGGCATGGTTTATTATTATTTATTTAGTAGAATACTTTTAAGTATTCTACTTTTAAAATAAACTCCTTTAAACTTCTTAAATAAGCCACCTGTCAGCCCCACAGCTTCTGAGTCAAGACAACGGGCTTGAGGCTTTTTACCTAATCACATAAAAAAGGACTGTCTCTAGGATGGTGTCATTATATAACCATAAGGTTAATGTTCTCATGTCAGCTTCCAGCTGCCCGGAGAATCAACAGTAACGTCAGAGAGGAAAGCAGCAGTGGACTGTGTTCACCCTGCTTTTAGGCCGCCTTTTCTTTCTTTTGTTCTTTTCATGTATTTGGGGATTCTGTGATTAGGAAAGTACATTCGTAAGTGTGAGTTGGGTTAGGGTGGGTGCACCATACATACGTGGAGAGGGTGCAGATGTTCTTCTGCCCAGAGAAGTTCAAGCGTCCGGTGGCAAAGGCCCTGTCCTGGTTCATCATGTCTGACACCTGGGCGGGGAGGTAGTTGGTAGCAGCCATGAGCATCTTTCCCATGTAGCCACTCCAGGTGGAAGCCTCTTCTGGACGGCTGGAGGAGCAATGCAGAGGCAAGGACGGGGCTGAGCTGCGGGCTCCAGCACCTACCCAGTGATCTGCACACCCCAGTGTTCCCTGCAGCAGGCAGAGACTGTGCCTGGGCAGAATGTTCTAGCCAGAAACGCATTACTCTGGCACTAACAAGAGAGCATCCAGGGCCTGCTTGTCCTTCAGAAGAGCCACTGTGAAGCTGCTAAGAGGTTCCCCATGCTACTGCTTTCTCACATTAAAAGAGAGTTTCTGATGATTAGTCTGACTCCTAGATTTCCAAAAGAGGGCAAGCGTAGAGAATGAGATGGAAATTAATATCTGGGCCCTGAAAAAATTAGCTCCCATCTGTTCAGGGCTCAGGGAAGAACAGACAGATCTCAGGGTGAAGTCCTCTTAAGCCAGACTAAGTGGGAAGCTAGCCTCCAGGCAAGAGGCTCTGGGTGGCATGTGATTATAGCTGTGGAGCCAACCAGTACCCAGCATTCACAATGCCCAGATAATCCAGAGGGACCTGCTAGGTCTCCTGCAGTCATCGAACTTCATTTGAAGACCTCTACCAAACAAGGGGGTGATGACTCCATTGATGAGTGACAGTCCATCTCTATGTTCTACACAATGGGCTTCCCCATGTGTTCCCCTGAGCACCTGCTATGATGCCATCTGTCTATGAGACCAGATCCTGGTGGAAAACTGACACTGCAGCTCAGAAGCCCTGAGCTCATTTCTTACTGTTGACAACTAGGCAGGGGGTCTTCAGAGGAACCTTTCTAGACCTTGTTCTTCTCAGCTGAAAGTGACCCTCCTGGACACACCTGTGCTGATGGCCCTAGAGGCCTGTGTTCTGGACTGGGATTTACCAAGAGGAATAATGCCCATTCAAGGTGGGAATATGTGTAAAAGAGAAACAACCCAAGCAGTTGTATATGGTACCATGTTTATGGTACAGACATCAGCTACCCCAGTAATACAGAGGAGGGAGAGGTGGATAAGGGTCCTTGACCTCTTGGTGTTCATGTTTCCTCATTTCAAAAGCAAGGACAATCACAGACCCCTTCCTGGCAGCCCTTCTGTGAAAACTACAGAGCTCAAATATACAGTCAAGCATGCAGTGAGTGTGGCTGCATTTGGGGATGTATCTGAGGCCAGGGGGATTTGAATAGTTCTGAGGTGGTGGCCACTGAACTCTGTGGGCAAGGGAGGATCTGGGACTTTATTCTCAAGGACAAAGAAAACAAAAGTTTCTGAAAAACACATGTCATGTTCAACAAGTGTTTTCAGAAGATCAATTCAGCAAGAAGATAATGAAGTTAAAGAGATGGGTAAGTGTTGTGGCCAGTGAGGTAAATGGGAGCTACATCAGCACTTTGTGGATGGGGAGGAGAGAATCCAGAAGGACTCGATGTTCTGTGCCTGACTACCTGTGTCCACCAACAGATGCAGGTAGGTGAGAGAAGGCAATGGATTTCCTATCCTAAACACTGATGATAGACCCAGGAGGGTGCAGGACTGAAGCGGAGACTTGGGAGCTCCAGAAGAGATAAGGGCTGAGTTTCAGATGCTGTCTGAGAGTCTAAAAAGTAGATATAATCTCTGAGGAAAGTGTGCAGAGGAAGCAGTTCAGGACAAACAAAAGCTCTGGGATCCCTCCAGGGGAGTCCGGGCATTAGAAGGGTTCTGGGAGGACTGGTCAGTACGGAGGGAGTGGTCAGTGTTCCCAGTACCAGTAGGAACAAGGTTTCTGGAGAAAGAGGATCTACAGCATTAGACTACACGGAGCAAAGGCAGAGTCTGCATGGGAGACTCACAGCATTTGAGGGCTGAGCCTGGGATGGAGTTTCAGAGAGGGAAGGACAAAGGCTGATCACCATATCGCCCTACTGTACTCCAGCACATCCCTGTGGGAGTCCTGTCTCATTAGGAGAAGAATTTCTTCCTTCTACAGAAGAGAGGCACAATCATGAATCCCCACTTGGGATGCTCATGAGTGCTATCCCCAGAGTGTTCACACTGAGTGCATTGCAGAAGCCTGGTGGCGTTGTTGTGGACCCTGGCCCTAGAGACAAAGGCTGACTTTGAGCAGGACACAGCACTTCTTGGAGCCTCAGTTTCCTCAATTGTAAAACTCTTACCCTAATTGCCTTCTAGAAATAATGTGAGCATCAGGGGAGGAAGTGTGGAAAATGCACCGTAACCTATGGCCTCCCTATCCGTGCGCAATGCCATTACTGCTAACTCTACCACCAGCTTGCAGAGGGTGATCGAGCAAATCACAACTTCGTGTTTCAATTTCCTGTAATGACACTAAAAAGAAGTGTCAAGAGACACTTCAGGTCTCTGCAGGCCCCCAGAGGAAAGGCATGAGACACCTAAGTTGCTACCAGAATCAGGAAACTAGTGGGAAAGGAATACAGGCATCACTGACTACAAAGAAACTGCACTTTATACCATGATGGGAGGAGGGCTGGCCCAAGTGACACTGCCGTAACGGCTGGGAGAGGGAGGACTACTCCACTGCTTTCCAGTGTGCGCACCTCCAAAAGCGAACACAGCCCCACAACTAGCAGGTACTCAGAAGCTACAAACAGGCTCACACACAAGGGAGAGGCCTCCAAGAGTCCACACCTTAGTCCCCAGAACGGGCAATGGGGATGAGATGTCAGTCCCCTCCTGTGTTACACTATATGGGCCAGGTGGCCTTAGGCAGGAGATCATCCAGGTGAGCATAATCCAACCACATGTGCCCGTAACAACAGAGAACATGCTAGGTGCCGTGGAGTGCGCCTGTAGTCCTAGCTACTCAGGAGGCTGAGGCAGGAGGATTGCTTGAACCTAGGTGTTCAAGACCATTCTGGGGAACATAGTAAGACCCCATCTTAAAGAAAGAAAAACAAACAATAAACCCCCAAATTCTTTTCTTTAAGCTTAGTAGTAGAGTGCTTGTGTTGTAGCACAACACAGGGGAGGAGGCGGGCAACATAGCAGGGAGATAAAACTTAAAGAATCTGAATGTGAGGAAGGTCACATAGCTAGTGAAGTAGCCATAGAGATGCATGCAACCATATATGGGTTAAACTTTGCTTCTTGCTTCTGTAACCTGCTTGCAAAGGTATATAAGGCAAGGCCCCTTTGTTCTTGGGGCTCAGCCTTTGGATGGGAATCTGCACACTAATAAATACTGCTTCCTGAAAAGCCTTGGTGTCCCATTTTCCTGCTTGAATATCCTGCAACATTTCAGCATGGGTAAAACCCTGGATTTGACTCCTTTGGTAGCAGAAAAGGAAGGCAGAAAAGCAAGTTGGACAAATCTCAGGCATGAGAAGGAATCCATGTGAGGCTACTGGTTTGAAAGCAACCTGCTCTCATTGCTGAGAGCAGCTCCAGCTGACAACCAACAGGGAAGTGGAGTCCTTATGACCACATCTGAAAGGACCTGCATTCTTGCCAATAATAGTAATGAGCTTGGAGGAGGACTCTGAGCTCCAGAGGAGAACACAGATGGCATTAATATACCTCCCTTTTGGCCTTGGGAGACCCTGGGCAGAGGATCTGGCCAGTGCCATTCTAGGCTTCTGACCTAGAAATGTGAAATCATCACTGTGTGCTCTTTAAAGCCATTATGTTTGTGGCAATTTGTTACAGCAGCAATAGCTACAAAGTAACAAACCTTATAAGGTCACCCCTCACTCCACTGCCACAGTTTCACTCAGGGGCCTTGAGGGTGTTTGCCAAGCACTCATGCATTGGTGGTGGCAATAGGGATGATAAGTATTGCTACCCTATCTACAGCTACATGGGCTAACATGGCTACACTGGTTAATGCTTACTGGGTTTACTACATGCCAACCACTATACCCAAATGCTTTACATCTACAAACCCGTTTAATCCTCACAAACCTAAGATGCACAGAGTATTATCATGTTTATTGTGCAGATGAGGGAACTGAAATTCAGAAAGAGTAAATGGCCTTCCCAGGGTCTCACAGCTCATAAGGGACAGAGCTGGGATGCAAACCCAGGTGTGGGCCCAGTCGTTGTGCTCTGGTGCATGATTCCACAAACAGGTTGCTAACACATACTCTACCATTTTGGTGAAGACTAACAATTAAGGCCAAATTTATGACATTTAAAAAGAAAAGCAATGTATGCTGACAGAAAAACGAGGGCTGGCCTCCTTGCCCTCTTTTTATTATGCCTGCTTGTACCCAACTTGCCTGGTGGTGAGGTGTTCCAGCTTGAAAATGTGCACGGTCTCCGTGTTGCTGGAGGCACACAGGAACTGTGAGTCCATACTGAAAACTAGAGAGCTGATTGTCACATACCTACAAACAGCAACACATAGGCCAGTAAGCCTGAGAAATGGTGGTTATCACCCTATAGTTCCAAGATTAGATTTATTAGGAAATTAAAAGTATCCTGAAGAGTCTAGATTATTCTAAACTCCTTCAATATTGAGTTTGCCCTTTCTCCCAGCTCGCAGAAGGAAGACTCCTGTGTTCCTGGTATCTTGGAAGTCTTCCAGCTGCTCTGTACACAGATCTAGCTGCAAACTCTACAGCTGACAAGTTCCCAAATGGTCACACTTTACAGTCCTTTATTTCTGTGGCAGGGAATCAGAAATTTTTAGGTTGTGATTCCCTGGTTCTCAGGTTTCTCCTGTGCTGGCCGCCCATGCACACATCAAAAAAGGACTCTCATGGCTGAACTCCTGTGTAAAAACTGCTCTTCTGCTTTCAGTTTTACTAAGCCCCACGTGGAGTCCCAGAGTCAATTACCTGAAAAAGTACAGTCATACTTCGTCTAGGGGAGAGAAGGCCATAGAGTCAGCCTCTGTCCTCTCTCTAGACGGTGCCTGCTGGCCACTGTAGGACTTCTGTGGGGGACTTTAAAATGGGTTTGACACTGAACACAGACCTTTTCATTCCTCTCCGAAACTCATAGAGCTTTTGCCCATCAGGTACAGAGAACACCCGGATGACCGTGCCCTGGAAAAGAAGGCAGGTGGACATTTCCTAACCATTGATAGCTGCACACAGAGGTGTCCCTAGGTGTCCCTTAGACTGAAGCTTACTTTATTTGTTCTGGACATCAAATCTAAGGAGGGAGTGGAAGTACCTGGGCATGGAGGCACTTTTATTTGCATATGTACCAAGCAGGCACAGCTTGGTTTTTAACTACTCCGTTTCCCTTTCCCTTCCTACCCCTGCCCAAGGCTCTGTGTGTGTGTGTGTGTGTGTGTGTGTGTGTGTTCCCACGCTGTTCTTCTAGAATATTCTACCTCTGTCTATGAAAATATGCCTGGCATTTGAAATTCAACTTGGTCCCCTTCCCTGATTATTTATCAATTTCTCTGGCTAGATAGCCAAGAATTTCTTTCTGCTATGCTTATGAAATATAGCATCTATCTGTATCTGTGGATGATATGCATGTACTTTTCTCAATAATACCACACATTCTTGTGTGAAGTGTTTTGTGTCTCCATAGCATGTGTCTTTGTTTTTTTTTTTTTTTTTTTGCCCTTGGTGTGAGGCTCAAATCTGACCTCATTTTATTTTATTTTTTT